ATCTAGATATGTAAATTTTTATTGTATTGGTATCTAAAGGCAAGTTTTAGTGGAAAGAAAGTATTGTAAGTTAAGCTTGAGCCAGCTTTCAATATTCGACCGTCTGTGAAACGTAACAACAATCGTTAAAAAAGAAAAACTTTTATAATTCATATATATAATTGAACCTTACATCACAGTCAAAAGTTTCTTTAATAATCCCTATAAAAATTAAGGGGGGGGCTGAAGAAGGAAACTTCTTTAAGTTAAAAATATAAAAATACAAACATCAAATTTTAATTGTTGAGATGTGACAAATTCTCTTTTAGTTTAAGTACCAAACAAGAGATGGCGGTACAGTTTGTAACACTAAACACTACCCTACTTCAAATTATATGCATGATGTTTGGAATTATCAGTCCAACTCGATGACAAATGCTGAATCGAATGATAGATTAAACTTCATATTTATTTTTACACTTACGAATGTTTTCAGATATTTGAATACTATTCATGCTGTTAGCAACATGACACAGTATCATAATACTAATTTTGTAGCAACATGATACCGTATCATAATACCAATTTTGTAGCAAAATGATACCGTATTATAATACTAATTTTGTTAGGATAACAATTATCTATTTTACATTGTTGTCCAATTTATATTTTTTGCTGTACATAATAGTATTACAAGTGACATCAATTGAGAGAAAAAAATACAAAGTTGAACTATTTTTCTCTTTAATAATCCGAATTTCTCTTGCTTCGTTTATAGTTACATATTCTTTTAGAAATTCTGTTGAATGCTGTGTCGTAATAAATAGTATTTATTCAAAAAACTCAGTTAGGAAATAAGCAAACATCTTAATAGCCTCAGTTGTGATTCGTAACCTGAGATATAGAAAAATACAAAACGTAGCCAACCTACTTTTAGCAATGGAATACGTAGTGGCGCGATGGTAAAAAGTTAAAGTGTATACATAAGTGTTATGATTGTAACAATTATCTATGTTACTTGCACTCGGATATTATTATTATGAAATACGATTACCAGTCTCATTATAATGGAGATTGCGATGTATACGCCCAAAACTCGGATCTCGGAAACTACCGCACCGATCATCACGAATCATAACTGGGTAATATTTTTTTATAACTAATGAGTATTTTTATAGCTGAGCAATAAATAAAACAACTGAAATTTCCACAAAAATGATACGTGTCATATTTAACCAATAAAAATTACAAACAAAAAGAGGTGAATTTCAAATATAATACAATCAAAAAACAAACTTTAAAAAAATATTTGTTTTTCTTTAGTGAAAATCTCATGAATGTTGCAACAGAAAGGCAAGGCACTTTCATTGATAACTGCGTCTACAAAGAAATACTTCAATAAAATCTATTCTGTGATGATAGCTTATTTGTAAACTAAAATTTTCTGAAAAATCCTTTTTATCATGGATGGTGAACATTATTGAATGTTAAATATAAGTAATTGTTGTAAAATTGTCAGACTATTCCAGAAGGCCCGGCATGGCCAGGTGGATAAGGCGCTCGACTCGCAATCTGAGGGTCGCGGGTTCGAATCCG